GTGTAAATAGTAGGACAGATTGGGTTCTATTGAATTCAAAACCTGCAGAGGGTCATTTGGCAACCTTGTGGCATACTGCGCACCAGTTCACTGTATTCAGCTCTTCCAAAAACTGTGCTTGGTTCTGTACAAACCTTCGCCACTATAATCAAATTAAATGTGTGGATAGTCTGGTTATTGGCTCTAAGAATTGAGCTGCTTGACTCTTATACCTCCAAAAATTGACAGCAGTGTCTAGTATGTTGTGGACTCTCCCATCGTTGATTGATGTGGGCTGTTGACCCATGCCTACTGAGGACCCTTTTATGACATATGAGGTTCAAGCCACTCAGTTGCTAGGGACTGTCAGCCAGACAACCTGCACATATGATTTAATTATAGTGGTGAAGGCTTTGTGCAGAACCAACTTCACTTTTTGAAGGGCCGTATACAGAGACCTGGTGCACTATGTGCCACAAGGTCCCCAAATGACCATCTGCAGGTTTTGAATTCAGAGTTGTCCTTCTCCTAGACCAGTTGTCATCCAAGGCTATAGAAGCCAGTCAGTTCTTCTATTTACCTATAACTGGGGGAAGAAGAAGGCTTATACCTTTTCCAAGGGTATTAGCATGGAAGTGAATGTAATGGATTTGTCTGGAGTTTGAACTTGGATCTCCAATTCCTCAACCCAAACTGCTATCCATTACTCCACTGTGCTTATATATATGAAATAGGTCAGTAAAAGAAATTTGAGAGATAATAAAAAGTAAACACAAATAATAATATTGATAATTTAAATTAATCATATTCATTGTATTCTGCTTTTGTTTTTGCTCAACAGCCACAGAACCCACCTGTAATTTATACTGCAACTATGCAGAGCAGACCTTAGTTACAGTTTCTGGGGGAGAGTGCAAAAGATGTTATGATCAACAGTTTGACCAACTGCTCAAAACACTTGGTCACAATGACTTGTGATTTTTGTGCTAGCTCAATTATCAACAGCTTCTGAACACTTTCATCTGCCCAGTTTCACTCCCCGACACTGATAACATCAAGAAGTTACCCCCCTGAAAAATCGATCATGGCGAGATTCGAACTTGACTCTCATGGTCAGAAAGCAAATATTATAACCACTCGGCCATGTACCCTTATACTTTCAAGCATACATAATTACATATAAATATGTATACATATAATGGTCGGCTATTCTTGTTTTCCAGGCACACTCATCTGCCAGAGCAGCTAGCCACACCATATTGCAGATATCTGTTCAATCCACAGAGCTCACCTGTGGATTATACTACAACTAAACCGAGCAGATTTTAGTTACAGTTTCTGGGAGAGAGTGCATAATCTAGTGTGACACAATTTTTAGAACAAGACCAGCATATTAAAATCCTCAGTCACGATGATTTGTGACTACATGCTAGAACAACGCCAACAGCTTATCCAACCCTTAATTTCTGTTTTTTCCAGGTTCACCCCAACCCAGAGTGGTAGCACCTGTTAGGGTCCCAGTTATGGGCAAATAGCTAACCCCCAAACTGGGATCAAAACACTATGATAGTATAAAAATAGATTTTTATAGTAAAAATATCATCAATTTAAAAAAAATTTTCAGCAATATTTTTGACTCTTGACAAAACCCTCTTTACAAAAATATATCAATGAAATCAGATATGCAAATTCTATTCATACAAACCCGTTAAAAAATCTTGTTGTCATTAAATAACCCATTGAGGCTGATATGCTGTAAAATGAACCCAAACAGTTCTGTCTACTCAGTTTCACTCACAAGGCTCGGCTTAACCCGTACAATAGTTTTCAGAGGTGCCACACCTTGTACTTGCCTCCCCAGGCCGATATTACTAAAAGGATACTCAGTCAGTTAATTGCAATTTGTGATACACAGTTCAATAATCATGTCTCTTTTGATTCATGACAGACTTGGTAGAAGATTTTTTGCAGTGTGTTACCATTTCTTACTGTGATAGCCTGGTTGCCAGCCAAGGCTATAGGATCAACTCTTTTCTGCTATTCAACCCATAGCTGAGTGGGTAGAGATGGATTCATACCTCTCAGAAAGGTATTGGTGTATAGGCGATTGTAATGAAACTGGCTGGAATTGAACTTGGCTCTTTTTTTTCTCATTCCAAGCTTTTATCAATTCCACCGAGCTACGCATCCAAAAAGATTCTACTCAGGTAATTCAATTTTTGTGCCTGCCTGATTCTAACATTAGTCACTAGATACTAGTAAAAAAAAAATAACATGGATGATAAGGTTTTGTCTCTCTGAAAAAATTTTTTTTATCCCTTCAGGACATATTCAATCATGACTCTCAACAGATTCCTTTTCTTTATTGTCTATGAATTGTCATGACATCCTGGGAAAGATAGTCGAGTGGTTTCCCATTGACTTCTCCACAGATTCCTTTTTCTTTATTATCTACTAGCAGCATGGCCCGGTGTTGCCCGTGCTTGATTCAAAAAAATCGTAATGACCTATACAGCAATCGCTATCACTTGACTTAAAAATTTTTGCCCTTCCTTGCCTTTAAAGGAGTGCCCTTTGCCGTGCTGATGTTGCTACATGCCTTACTTCACCTATCTCACACTGCGATTTTTTCTAAGCTCTATACTAAACATTAAATCTGTTATGAAAAAGAACTAAACAAAATGAACACAAAACGATCAGCTTTAAAAAAGGACTCGTAACTGGAAAATCCGAATGAAAAAAGAATGTTAACAAATAAATACTTTTTTCACAGCCAACCCAGTTCTCTGGAATCAGAATCAACGTTGAGTTTAAGCAAGCGAATGAGCCAATTGGAGTAAAGTGCCATGCAGATTTAAATTTTTCCCACTTGTGATGAATTATGCTAGTTAACATGCGTGTCAGTCAGCTGTTGGCTCTCATGCTGGCCAATGGAATCTTCGTGCCTATTTGTGGCAGCCAGCTATAGGCTCTCACTCTGGCCAGTAGAAAATTGCTACAAACTACATGAAAACTGCCGTAGAAGCATGAAAAAAATCGATTATTTCCACGATCGATGGGAGTTGGGAAATGCAAAGTCAGTCTTGGCCTTCCACTAACTTGGAGCATGCGCATGTAAATTTTGATGCAAATCCACTGAAAATTGCGGCCGTGCATTTGTTACACACACACATACACACACATCCTACCTTTTATAGATAGAGATGAATTGCAATGAAATCTTAGGAAATACAATGGGGTGGTTCCCTGTTGCCATCTCCTTGGTTTGGAATTCATTAATTCATTGTTGTATTTAGCCTAGCTATCACTTAAATCTAGAAAGCCCAGTCTACCCTGCTACTTAAACCATAGCTGGGGAGGGCAAAGAGATAAACTTATGCCTTTCCCAAGAGCATTTGTGCTAAAGTGAACATAATAGACTTAATTATTTATTTTTAAATACCGTCTCACTGCAAGAGTATATGCTCGAATCATATTGAAAACACTGATTTTTGTTCAATCACAAAAGTTAAGCAGTGTCAAGCCTGGTCAGTATTTAAATGGAGGACCACTTGGGAACACCAGATACTCTAAGTGACCTCCAACAATCTGAAATATATTTTGGCTTTAAATAAGCCACAAAAGTTTGATAAACTGTTAAAAAAAAAAAAAAAAAAGAAAAATCAATCAACAATCCCTTCAGCATGTAGGCAATTGTGAACAGCCATAGAATCCCCCCCCTTTTTTTGTTTGGAAATAGTTATTTTTTATTGCCTTTTGAAAAACCCATTTTCCTGAAAAATTTTTTAAGTGAAAATGTTATAAATTTCAACCACTAGCAATACTGGCTGCTCAGTCAATGAATGCTGAATATTTCCTTATAAGGAATATTACCATTATAATCCATGGTTTTGAATTCAAAGTTGTCCTTCACTTAGATTGGTTTCCATTCAAGGCTAAACAGACCAGTATACTCTGCTATTTAACTCATAGCGTTTTGGTTTGGTTTGGTTTACTGCATACCAACTTGAATGGGTTATTTAATGCTGACAAGATGGTAATATTTTTTTCCAAAAATGTATTGCTGGTAATATTTTTTTTTTTCAAAAATATATTGCTGGTAATAATTTTTCCCAAAAAGTGTTGCTAGTATTAAAATCTATTTTTATACTTTTATAGTGTTTTAGCCCCAGTTTTGTTTGGTTTGTTTTATGGCACATCAACCTCAATGGGTTATTTAATGCCAACAAAATTTTAATGACCAGTAATATTTTTATTTTCAAAAATATATCACTGATAATTTTTTTTCCCCAAAAAAAGATACTTGGTAATATTTTTTTTTTTTTAAATTCATTGCTGGTAACAATTTTTTTAAAAAAAAGTATTTCTGGTATTAAAACCTATTTTTACACTTCCATAGTGTTTCAACCAGAGTTTTGGGGTTAACTATTTGCCCATAACTTGGACCCTGACAGGTGCTACTACCCCAGGGTGAGAACACCAGCAATTAAGAGGTGGTTCCATGCTCCTCAAAACCTCCTAATCGAAGGCCTTGCTGTCGAATGTAGTTTATCATCATACCCAGGATGGCATAGCTGGCTGGGGAAAAGGAAAAGAGACAGATCCATAACTTTCTTAATGGCACTTGTGCAAAGTGAATATAACTGACTCGGAATTTGGGTTAGGCATGTTGATTTCACTTTTCTTGTTGAAAACACATCAACTCCCCTCCACCTCAAAGGAGAAAAAAAAAAAAAACTTGTTAAAAATTAATACTTCTGAGTTGTTTAAAAGATACATATTTATATTTTTGGAGAAAGAGAAAAAAATTATCTGTTTATACTGACCTGTTTTTTTGTGAATGACTCCTTATAGTTGATTGCCACGGTGCAAATGAGATTGGTGAGGCACAGGAAAAGACCTCCTAATATTGCTAACCGCATCCTGAGGGGTAGTAGTGCATAGGTTAAATAAACAAAAAACACAGTGCACCACACTCCTTCAGTCATACTGTGGAGGTTACTTGTTAGGATAATTGTTACGAGCACAACACATAAAATGAGAAGAACACCAAGGCACATAAAAAACATGTGGATTTGTTTGAAACAACCTCTATTGCACAGTAACATTTTTGTCAACAGACATGTAACTATGATTGAGAGAATGAGGCCCGGAACAAAACTGGTCATGCCACCTGCGTAATAGAAAAGGATGAGCAAGAGACAGACGAAGGCGAGAATCATGAGTAAAAAGGTGAGGTTGTTCTTGTCAAGCTTGAAGAAATAGCGCTGATACAAGTCCTCCAGAGCTGGAGTGAAGCGCTTCGAGCAGAAGAGGTTGTGCAAAAACTTCAGGCTGAGACCACCGCAGTCTGCACCTTGGATGGACACAGATTCTTCAATTCCGGGCTCTTCCTTTTGGTCCACTTTAGCCTTGGAATCATTCTGTGAGGCCTCGTATCGTTCCTGCGCCCTATCCCAGGCAGATTTACGCTGTTGCGATCCGCTACGCGAAGACGATGCTTTGCCCGGTGTCAGTGGGGAGACTTTACCATTCTTGCTAAAGCCAGGGGTCGGGCTTGAAGCTATGTTCATGTTTGTAACAGTGGGGCTGGGAGTAGCATTTCTAATGGTGGTAGCTGCAGTGGGAGAAGGGAGACTGTTCATAGTATCACTGGTCATTGGTGCGGTTGTAGTCCCATTGCTGAGGTAGTTCGGTCGGATTGCTTGTCCATTCTGTATTGGTGCCACAGACAAAGTGACCTTCTCATCTGGCTGGCCATCATTGTCATGATGAGGGGAATCATTATCATCTTTGTCTGGATCTGGCACGGACTCATCAGGGGGATCCAAACCATTGTCTGCGCTGTGGGACATGGCTGTAACAACGAAAAAAGGTACAGAAATCAATTATTAATTGTAAATGTATATAAATATCCAACCACAAAATAGTTAATTTCTTAGCTATAACCTTTAATCTAAACAACGGGAACCATATAGAAAACCAAATAACTCCATATACATTAAAAATTCCAACCTTCCCTCTAATGGATTCAATAAATACCCATATCTATGAATAAAAGAATTTCAACAAATTGTAGCAGCTTAAAAATATCCAATGAAAACAAAAAAAAAACATGAATCAGCCCTAAGAAACAGCTGATATTCAAATAAACTAGAATACTAAAACGAAAACAATTCAAACAAAAACAACAGAAAACAAAATTTGGCATACAACACTACAATAAAAAGAAAAATAAGCAAAATATTCTTCAAAATAATTGACAAACACTTCCCTAAAAACACAAATTAAGAAAAATTATCAATAAAAACAGCAATCAAAATTAGTTACAGCTTCATGGATAACTTGGATAAAATAACTAAGCACAATAAAAAAAAATACTCAACAAAACCAATAACAATAGCATCCAACAAAAATAACATCAAATGTAACTGTAGAAACAAAGCAAATTGCCCACTTAATAAATTTTTAACCAATAACATAGGTAAAGTGATTGTATCTAATAACATTAACACAGATGAAAAAATTTATATAGGTGTGACAGAAAAAATCCTAAAAGAAATATATTACAACCATAAAATTTCCTTTAAAAAAAAACAAACTACACAAACACTACAATCCTATCAAAATACGTAAGGACCCAAAAATGAAAACAGTATCCCCACCATAATCAAATGGGAAATTATAATAAGAGAAGCCCCATACAGTATTAACAGTAAAAACTGTAAACTATGCTTATAAGAAAAAATTAGCAATAATTAGATTTACAAACCAAAATGAACTCTTAAACAAGAAAAATGAAATAATGGGTAAGTGTAGGCATATAAATAAATACTTACTTTGCCATCTAAGCACTAATTAAAAATAAACAAACAATTAAGTAAATAAATACATATATAAACTTTAAAAAAATAATAAAAAATATAAAATAAAATTAAATGAAGAAAAATACAAATATAAATAAATATAAAATAAACAAAACCAAACAAAATAAAATAACCAAAATTAAACAAAGAAATAAAATAAGCAAAATAAAATAAATGAACAAATATTAAATAGACACATCTATGTGTGTGTGTGTGTGAGTGTTCGAGTATATACATATAAATATAAACATACACACACATACACAAATACAAATGAACAAACCTAACCTTCAATAATTAATACTTCAATATATAAGGTAGCACCAAGGCAATAACAAATAAATTACTAGCTATTAAATAAAAATTAAACATTAGATAAATTATAACATATAAGCAAATATTTAATTTATTATCTATACACAATTTAAAAATACACATACGTGCAGGTGCATCTAAGTGTGTTTGGGAGTATATGTTGTATACTCTTTATACATATATTCAAACAGCAAATGCTCCATTAACTCAACCACCCAGAATTAGTTCCCTAAAAATATGAAAAAGAAAAAAAATACAATGACACATGGCACATTGGATAAAGCTGTTAGTTTAGATCCAGTTCAATACCTGGTTAAGGAGAGAACTTGGAGAGGGGAATTAACGGGAGATAACTGATAACTGACATCCATTAGACATGGCACGTGGAACTAGAACAGTCTACCAAAATGTGAGTGAAATAAAGGGTTCAGTTTGACATTCCAACCACCTGAAGAAGGCTGGAGCATACAATGGCCAAAACGTTGTGATAAATATGGCAACAAAGATAAGGACAATAGTCCAAATAATGTAAATAGTGTACATAATACCTAATCTTAGAAATATAGACAGATACAGAAAAGAATAATTTTACCATTTAAGCACTAGTGTATATATTAACAACAAAACACAGGTACAAGTGTGCATGCATTTGTGTACATATATGTGTGTGTATAAACATATAAATATAAGGATATGCATATAAATAAAAAATTAATTATAAACTTAACTCCCTACAATTAATACCCTAAAATAGTACTTAAGATACCACCAAATCAGATAAGAAAATGAAGTAATTGCCAAATGAAGATGTATATAAATATTTCCTTTATAATTTAAGCATTAAAATAAATTATTTATGTAAAAAAAAATGAAATACAATTTTCCTAACTCAAGAAAACACTAGAATGCTCAAAAATTAACGACGACAGCATGGCTAGAAAACTGGAAATCAAACGGCAAGAATTGAAAGAAAAAAGGAAAAAGTTAGGGAGTCAGTATAAAGTGAAAAAAAATGACAAAAAGTACAAATAATCATGTCATTCTACATGTGTGTGAAGGCATACAATATGAAAAGAAAAAACTTGCATCATTGAAAAGTGCATACAAAAAAGAAAAATCAAGAAGTATAAGCAGTCAGTTGCTGATGCCCACTGATGAGTGGAAGGAGTAATTCCTGGAGGGTCCATGCACAAAACTCTGGAATCAGGATGCTGAAGGTGACATCAATCAGCTTAGTGACAAACTTTTTACTTATATTAATCATATACATATATATTTTTTTAAGCATATCACTCCAAGCAAGGTGGGTGTGCCACGAGCATGCAAGTGGTCACAGAGAGTGAAAGTAAGAGTAAAGAGGGGTGTTTGAGGAAAGGATAAACAGAAGGGGAGGGATCAAGATCAAGGCAACAGAAGATGTCGATTGACATTACATTTGAAGATTATAGTTATCTGGGAAGCAAGTAAAAGGAAGAGATTTCCACTGTTGGGAAGTACAACATATATATATATATAGACATTATTTATGTTTATACATTCTTTTTATAGATATAAATATTTAAGTAAATGCTCTGTTTATAATAAACAGTATTAAACAACATTTACCAGCATGAATGTCTGAGAAATTTTCACAGAAAATATTCGTCCTCCGACAGGATTCAAATCTGTATCCTATATGAAATCATCATTTAGCTTGACGTGCCTTTAACCTATTTGGCCACAGAGGAGCGTTCGGTTAGCAAGGTCGAATTTACTGTATTTGAACTTCAATCTTCTATGAATCTCTCATGTACATTCATATCCCCTTATGGCATATCAAATGTAAACAAATGACGTCACACATTATGAAATGGACAATGCCCGACAATTATTTTAAGACATTTTTATGCTTATACATTCTTTTCATAGATACAAATATTTAAGTAAATATATGTATATATTCCTTTAGTTATGAGAATTTTATTTTGAAATACTTTTAAAAGAGCTTTTAATACATTAATAAAAACTGTTTATATATATATATATATATATATATATATATATATATATATATATATATATATATATAGTCATCCATAGACAGACTATTTCATTGTATCACAGCTCATAGGTTTGGCTAGACATCCAATTGCCTCAAGCCAGGATCAAAACCTGATTGATTTGGCATTAGTTGGAGATTTTACCTCTGAACTATCAGCACCTGGTAGAGAGGAAGGTGAATTTTTATGTATTTATTCTTTTTGAATATATATATATATATATATATATATATATATATATATTCAACATCATCATAGTAAAGACACCCAATTGTTGAAACAAAAATGGCTATTTTTGTAGTGATTTTATAACATATTTATGTTATAAATTTTTAAAAAAATAAATATATATATATATATATATATATATATATATATATATATCTATATTGATATGGAATTTGAAACTGGACAAACATTTAAAACAAAGTTGATGCAAACATGTTTGTATAGCCTTATTTTAATATTATTTTGCATTCATTTTTAACCAGTGACAATCCTATTCTTCCTATTCAATGAAAATTGTATACCAAAACTAGTTCAAGCAAATTTTAGGTAAAAATTTACCAAATCATTCATTTCCACACACTAACCACTGAAGATATTTTGTCATTGACAACCACTTTCATAAGAGCATAGGGAGACTCCTGAGGATTGACATTACATTTGAAGATTATAGTTATCTGGGAAACAAGTAAAAGGAAGAGATTTCCACTGTTGAGAAGTACAACATATTTTAAGACATTTTTATTTCCAGTAGAGTCTTCACTAGAGGATCACCCAATAGAGTTTAAACAAGAATATACCCCCAGGGTCTAACCAGGAGGACCCCCACCCCCCAGAAGCGTCTAAACATGAAAATCCTCCAATAGATCTTACACAGGAGGATCTCTCAGTAAAGCCTACACAGGAGGTTCCTTAGCAGAGTCTAAAAAAGTGGGTCCCCTTATAGAGTTTAAACAGGAGGATCTTCCAGAAGAGTCTACACATGATGTTAACGATGATAGCATAATTTTAAAGTTTTTTTATTTCTAAAATATTTTCTCACATTAGTCCTAAGTTTTTCCAATCATAATATTCTTCAACTACCACTTTAATAAGATTATGAGGAGGACTACCAGTTGGAATGGTGAGTCTGAAGATGGTTTGTAAGGTTGATTTTTACTTGGAACTGGCAAGGAAAATGAGAGCAGACAATTGTTCCTGGAGGACAAGGCATCTCTGCCCACTGTCTTCATACTTTTTTAAAATTTTATTTTACTATCCTGAATTTAAACAAATTTTTTTTTTTAATTTATTTTACAATAGTTGCTGTACTTAATTTTAATGAAAATACTTTTAAAAATGTTACTTTACTTTAATTATTGTCCTGAATTTAAATGTAAATATTTTTTTTTAATTTTATTTTATATTTGGGGGTTAAAGTGAGGCAGATTTATTGTGTTTGTCTTTTGATGAGAGCCTGAAAAGGACAAGTTACAAACAGAAAAAGCAATCAACATCCAATTAATCATAGTTTTGTGTCTGGGCTGCCAGATTGTAAACTTCAGATTCCTATTAGATATTCATTGCCTGCAACAAATGATTTAATCTTCAGTTGTCTGTCTATTGTGAAGCAGTTTGAATTCTAGATAA